GCAACAAGGCCTTAATCCTGGACAGCATCGCCATTGACATTGCACTAATAATGCACTTCCAATTAACGCGCACCCCCCTCGGCCCGTATGTTTAGCAATGTTCTAATTATTCATTTTTGAATAATGAATATGTGCCATTGATTAATTAATTTAATTATTTGCTTATTAAAAGAGCTCTGAAAGAGCTCTGAGGTAGCGGTCCATACAAGAAGTTAACAGATAGAGAAGGACTCGGTATTGGTGAATGGCTCCACTATAGCTGCTAAAGAACAGATAAATAGCTGGACACTAAACACGTGGTCTTTAATTGTCATAGCAACGCTCTAACAGTTTCCATGGTTTTTAATTGAATTTTTTATGACCGCGAATAATTGCAGCCGCGAATATATCCCGACCTACGGTAATTTTTAGCTCCAGCTGGCCTAACAAGCACAGATGATATGGATACTTTTGAAGAAAAAGTAAGAAGGCGTGGCACTTAATAACTACTGATAACTTCTAATAATCATTAATAATTATTAATAATTACTGATAAAATTATTAATAATCATTAATAATTATTGTAGTTAAAGGATGAGGTGATTAACTTGATAACTGAAGAGGACACGTCCAGTGATTCCTTCTTGGGTACCATAAAGACTCAAGCTAATTTTGAGGATCACTTTGGAGACATTCACGACTGGAAAGGAGACAGTAATATCCACCATTTCTTATGCAGGCAACTCTACCTTCACTACACAGCAGCAGTACGTCACATGACAGTCACATGATGCCAACACACATGCCTGCACGCACGTATCTCATTATCCTACACACATGCATGTATTTAATTGTATAGTCATGTGATTTTCACATGACTGCTACTATAGGAACAGGATATATTGTCCAGTGTGTGGCATCGTTATGTTGATGGTTTAAAGAAAGGTCCTAATCAGTATAGAGAGGTACCGACCGATAGAACAAAGAAGAGAGAGTTTCATAATTATTTGAGGAAAGGGATCCCCCTGGAGTTTAGATCACAAATTTGGAGCAGGTAGCCTTCACTAATAATATTTCTCTTATACTTTCTTTCCCTCTCTCCCTCCCTCTCTTCAGTATTATAAATCATCACATTGGAAAATTTCGAGATATTAAGAACAATGCGAGTAAGGACGGTAGCTATTACCAGTCTTG